TGTGTACGTCCCCCCCATCAGCTAAAGCTGAGGTAGCAGTGGACACCATCCACTCCACTGTGTCTGGACTGCTGAGTCAACATGCTGGTGCGTTTTTGGCTATTACTGGTGACTTTAACCACACCACTCTGGATAAAGCCCTGCCGACCTTACACCAGTATGTTGACTGCCCCACAAGGAACAATACAACTCTGGACTTACTGTATGCAAATGCTAATGAGGCATACAGTGCTACTGCCCTTCCCCCCCCCTTGGCAGGTCTGATCACAACCTGATCCTGTTAACACCAACGTATGTTCCTCTGGTGCAGAGGCTGCCTGTGACCAACAGGACTGTGAGGGGGTGGTCTCAGGAGGCTAATGACGCTCTGCAGGACTGCTTTGAGTCTACAGATTGGGATGTGCTGTGTGGACCACATGGGGAGGACCTCAACAGCATGATTGACTGTATCACAGAATACATTAAATTCTGTGAACAAACTACTATTCCATCCCGGACTGTACACTGCTACCCCAACAATAAACCTTGGATTACCAGTGACCTGAAAGCTCTTCTTAACAAGAAGAAAGCAGCTTTCAGGTCTGGGGACAGGGACGAGCTCAGGAGAGTCCAGCGCGACCTGAAGTTTATGATCAGGGAGTGCAAGGACACCTATAGGAGGAAGCTGGAGGACAAACTCCAGCAGAACAACGTGAAGGAGGTGTGGACGGGGATGAAGCAGATTACCGGCTTCAAGGTTGGAGGCAGACAACCAGGGGGCTCCCTGGAGAGGGCCAACGAGCTAAACTCTTTCTTCAATAGGTTTAGCTTAGAGCCCTCATCTGTCTCCTCCACACACCACACCTCCCAAACACCACCACCTCCCCCTCTGTCCCCCCTGGTGAGCTGCATGGACTCAGAGCCCTCCACTTCAAAGGGCTCTGCCACCACCGACACTACGACCCCCCTCCCCCCCTCTCTGTGACGACTGGCCAGGTGAGGAGACAGCTGGAGAGACTCCACCAAGGCAAGGCTGCTGGACCGGATGGATGGCATCAGACCCAGGGTCCTGAAGACCTGCGCTAGCCAGCTGTCTGTTGTCCTGCAACACCTCTTCAACCTGAGCCTGAAGCAGGAGGAAGTCCCGGTGCTGTGGAAGACGTCGTGCCTGGTTCCTGTACCAAAAAAGACGACACCATCTAGCCTCAATGACTACCGACCAGTTGCCCTCACATCTCATGTGATGAAGGTGCTGGAGAGGCTGGTCTTGGCCCACCTTCGACTGCAGGTGAAATCCTCAATGGACCCTCTGCAATTTGCATACCAGCCTCATGTGGGGGTGGACGATGCCATCATCTACCTGCTGCAACGAGCTCAGTCGCACCTGGATGGATCCGGTGGCTCTGTGAGAATCACTTTCTTTGATTTCTCCAGTGCATTCAACACCATCCAACCAGTGCTGCTGAGTGAGAAGCTGCGGGTGGTGGGGGTTAATGCGTCCACCGTCTCCTGGATCACTGACTACCTCACAGGCAGACCACAGTTTGTCTGACTGGGCAGTGTGCTGTCTGATGGGGTGGTCAGTGATACTGGAGCCCCACAGAGAACTGTTCTGTCTCCCTTCCTGTTCACCTTGTACACCACTGACTTCCAGTACAACTCAGGGTCATGCCATCTGCAGAAGTTCTCTGATGACTCTGCAGTGGTCGGGTGTATAAGGGACGGACGGGAGGAGGAGTACAGGACAGTAGTGGGTGACTTTGTGGAGTGGGCCAGTAGAAATCACCTGCTTCTGAACGTGGCCAAGACCAGAGAGATGGTGGTCGACTTCAGGAGGAAGACGACGGCTCCACAACCGGTGAAAGTTCTGGGAGAGGATGTGGACATGGTAGAGGAGTACAAGTACCTGGGTGTCTCCATCGACAACAGACTGAACTGGCAGAACAACATCAACGCTGTGTACAAGAAGGGGAGGAGTCGACTCTTTTTCTTGAGGAAACTTCGATCCTTCAACGTGTGCAGCAAGATGTTGGAGATGTTCTATCGGTCTGTTGTGGCCAGTGCACTTTACTTCGCCGTAGTCTGCTGGGGGAGCAGCATTGGAGCCGGAGACACCAACAAACTTAACAAACTGGTTAAGAAGGCCGGCTCCATCATTGGCTGCAAACAAGACAATCTGGAAGAGGTGGTGGAGAGGAGGACACTGAAGAAACTATTGTCCATATTGGATAACCCGGACCACCCTCTCCACCACCTACTGCAGGGACAGCGGAGCACTTTCTCCAACAGACTGATCCAGCTCCGCTGTCACAAGGAAAGATACAGGAGAACGTTCCTTCCCTCTGCAATAACACTTTACAATAGATCACCTCTGGCCAAATCATCCTCCACATAATTACACACTGCTACACTGTTGTTTGCTGGGGTTGACTTTTGCACTACTGTTTTTCACCTAGTTAGTTCATTTAACACTATTCTATTAAATTGTATATACTGTGCATTTTTGTTTTATCTTATATATTCTATATTCTGATATTTAATTTGTCCTACTCTGTTATTCTATTGTGCATTTTTTAATACTTAATATTTTTGGTTACTTTGCTTCTTGGTGTGTCTTGCTGCTGTAACATACAAATTTCCCCCTGGGGATGAATAAAGTATCTATCTATCTATCTATCTATCGATATATGGATATCTGTGGCGTGAGTAAAGGGGAGAATGTACTGAAAGAGACATACAAGTGGAACTGGGATGCAAAATACATATTTGGGGAGAGAATACCAAAACAATTAGTAACTCTTGACATATATTATGGAACAAAAAAGAAAAGAGTTTAGATCTTTAGAGCAGGCCTGTGTGACTTTCAGACAGGATAAGTTGCATTAGAATGACGGTATTGTTTCTGTTTCAATCACTACCATTAGCTGTGCTACATGTAAGACATGGGGAACAATGTTTCCCTGGAATGGGTCAAAGACCAGAGGAAAAAGGAAAGTTCTGTAATCGAGTAAATCTAAAGGTGGATTGGCTCTCCCTAGCGGCACAGCTGCTAGTTAATAAGACCTGGTTAGTAAAACAAACACACAATCCAGACAGTGTTTGACTGAATCCTTCACTTCAAATCATACTTCAAAAGTGAGATTATTTGGGTGAAAAATTCATTAACCATTTGGAATACAGTCAGGTTAATCTAGATGAAGAAAGGCCCTTGTTGAGAGAAATGACCTCGTCTTTATGCCATCAAATATAATATAAAATAATTCAGTTTTTTATAATAAGGATTATACATTGTGGCAAAGCCAAGCAGATCCAGCACAGGGTGCGGATCCCCAAGCTCAGGTTTGGTGATAGAGGGAGGGTTCCAGTTCAGGTGCTGCAGCCACTAGGCACGTGGCATTGGTCACACCTGCAGCCCATCAGCTAATCACAGCAGGCATATGTTCAGCCAGCTCTAAGCAGCACCGGCAGACAGGCTGGGGAGAAGACCAGGAGGACCTCCTGAACCACTGGAGACCAGCAGTGTTGAAAAGGAGGTAATCAAGAAGCCTCATATCTATCTATCTATCTATCTATCTATCTATCTATATCTATATCTATATCTCTCTCTCTCTCTCTCTCTCTCTCTCTCTCTCTCTCTCTCTCTCTTGCTCTCTCTCTCTCTTGCTCTCTGCTCTCGCTGCTCTCTGCTCTACCCACAGAGGAACTGCTGAAGGCCAAAGACCCCGGATGGGAGGAGTCTTTAGTTAACTTTGACCCCATCCTCTTTATTAAAGGACACTTTTTGTGTCACACCAACTGCCTCTGAGTCTCTTGTTTTGTTGTGAATCTTGCCTCCACGTCCCCTGGCTTGCCACAACATATCTGGGAAAGACATTTGTGATGAAGTCATAAAACAATTTGAAGAACTTCAATTAAATCAGGATTGGCCTCGTCCATACAAAAGATCTCCGATCGAGAAGCTACGCATGTCGCAGTCTCGCTAAAATAGAAGCAACAGACATGAACATCCCTTCATTCCCTTAAATAAATACCATCAGATCATGGGATCTCAACGTGGATCATCAAATCCACTAAACGTAAAAAAAGAACAAATTGTAGCAAATCCAAAATGGGAGACAGAATTAAGAATTGTGATTTTCACTGAGCAGTAGAATATGCTTGATGCTGTATTTGATCAGTCCAGATATGCTCAATATGCTCGGCCTACATCAAGTGTTGGAGAATGTGTAAAATTCACCACCATATCTTTGTCATGTGAAATGTGGGTGTGTGTTACTGTGATTATGTTTAGATATGCATGCTCACACAGACTTGTATGCATGAATATATAACGTCCATACATTTCAATGCTTATTGGGTTTCACTGCATTGATAACATATCTTATATATTTTTGAGTTTTTTGCCGCTGCATCACAATGAAACAGTTTCTGATAAGTGACACGGCCCTTCTCTGGGGTTCTGTAAAGCAGGTTTTGAAAATGTCCCGATTAAACTAAGCAGGCTCCAGATTTAAGAGTTTCTGTCAAGAGAAAGTTTTATTTTAGTTAAAACGTGGCTGCAGCTGGTCGTTATGGAAACAGTCACTTTTTTATCAGCCGTCCGGGCAACACAAGTGACTGATTATGTGTTTACAGGTGATGAAGACGGTGAGGTCCGGCAGGCAACACAAGCAGAGGAGTGAATAGGTTGTTGTGATGGAGGAAGTGGATTATTTAAGGTCTGCCATTTGTTTTGCAGGTGTTTGAGGTGAACCAAGCACGAAGGGAGGGTTAGAGCTGAGCAGCAGAAGACATACTCAAAGAAAAATGTGAAGCCCACTCACACTCTGACACACACGGCTGCGAGAGCTGTCAGTTGAAGGTGATATGTCTCAGGTAAAAAAAAAGAGAGCGCTCAGAGAAGCTGGCATGGCGGTGTGATGCTGAAAGGTGTAGCAGAAACAACCAGCATCTGTCGTGTGTGTGTGTGTGTGTGTGTGTGTGGGGTGGGGGGGGGTGTAAGAACAAACAGAGGCACTAACCTTTCTTGGTTGCTGCATCCACAGAAAGCAGGCAGAGAGTGAACAAGGAAGCAGAGAGAGAAAGGATTCATTTACAAGTTGTCAGCAGCAGGAATGCCACACAGTGTCCCAGTGGACAGAAAGTCCACCTGACAGAGCACATTACAGCCCCTTACTCATCACGCCTACTCCTCCCTGTGCTCTTCATCTGATCCACAGCCAGCCGAGCAGCCTCTCCTTCCAGCTTACACACGTCTTCTTTTATTGCTATTTACAATTATAGAGTTAGTGAGAAATATTAGGTGTCGGCGCTCACTTCTTACCCTGCCATGAACTACAATCTTACCAGGATAATGATGGCATGGATTTAGAGTAAAGGGCCGGATTAACATAAACTGAGGGCCCCTTTTGACACCACTTTGTGCTCTGTTGCCAACTTAAAACCTGCTTGTTAGGTTGGCAACAGAGAAAACAAAAAATACAAATAAATCACAGAGATGCTCATTAGCACTGGAGTATTATCACATGACCACTGTGTTTGGTGAAATATGGTTGGTCATTTGTGGTGGAAACAAAATGATCTCTCAGCCAGGAGGCCGCTGTTCGTTCCATGTGTGAAACAAGAGGTCAACGTTGACGTATTTGTCACGTAATTCTGGTACTTCAGTAATGCAACTTCTGTCGTTATTTTAACACAATTGACGATATTTTTCTGAACCCAATTAGTTTTGTTGCCTAAACTTAACTTGACACGTGTTGTTGGCGTTCGTAGGAAAACACACGAAAAATGAGTAACTCTTCGTGAAATCTCATATGAACCATCATATGAGGATAAGGTAGAAGATGAGCGAATGCATGCAATGTTTCTGTAAGTTATTAATAATAAAATTTAGAATGTCAACGTTATGAATGGAGCCCTAACGGAGACTCATTCAAACGGGCACCAGAGCCAGAGGTCTTTGTGAGTATTATGTAAACATAAATAGGCCTGTACAACATAATTACATTTTTACTATTAAATATACTTATTATATTATAAAATGTTTTTCATATCTGGTGAATATTGTCAGTAAACGTAGAAATCTCTAGTGGTGTATTTATGTCCATATAGACAACCACATGGTCTGTGTCTGTCGTCATTACGCATAAAGATGGGACAAAACATGAGCGTCTGAAAAATAAGAGCATCCAGTTTGGTCCTCGGTCTGAAGCGTGTCTCTCACAGCGTGTAGGCAGCTGGCTGCAGCTTGTGTCTGTACTGCGAGCTGCATTGGCCAGTTGCATCAAATAAACACACACTGATTTGTCTCAGTCAGTCTGCTGAGGAGTCATTCGCTTCAGCTGAACTTTAGAGTGCAATTCTACACAGAAACTACAACTGTGGACTGTGGCGCTCATCACTTACACTTTGGATGCATTAGGAAGGGATCGCCTGGGGACTAGGAGAGACGATTACAGCAATCGATGCCTCTAAAACACCAGACCTATGGTGTAAGTGTTCAAATGCGTGAAGTAGGGGTTATGATAATCTATGATAATCTTGACATACCACTTTAAAAACATTGTTGCTGTTCTACAAAATACACATCTCCAAATTTGGAAATAAAAGATTCCAGGTTCATAGGTTGAGAAAATTCTCCTTTTTCATTAGCAAATGAGGCCAATAAAAAAACAATTGGGTGACCACCAAAATGCATGATCACAACTCTTTATATTTAATGAAATATTACTACATTCAAAACTACAAACCAATTTTACTTCGTGCCTTTTAAGTTTGTCAGTAAAGCACTATTTCTAGCACTATATTAGAGTCTAATTCAAATTGAAAAGTCAACTTTATCTCTAGATTCTTTATAATGAATTACCCAACTGAAGCTCAACTCATTTTCATAGTGTGCAAAAATAAATGAAAACTTCTGGCTGCCTGGAAATCAATCTGCGATACTATTATATACCGATGAACATGTTGGGCAGGAACGTCGTAAAGGATTTATGAGAATATAAAACGTCACTTTGGTCAGTTGGAGATGCTTTCCTCATGGACGCCCCAGAACAAATATTACTCAACTTCAAGTGAACGAGCAAAAAGAGAGGAGGATGAGAGGAAAGACAAATCGCGTGTTTCCATTTGAGCAGAGCAGCGGCCATATGGAAGCCCCCGTCAGCCGCTCCAGATGTTTGATCCGAGCACAGCAAGTACGAGCCAACTGTTAGCCTGGAAGAGCGGTGCCTTCCTCCCATATGCTGCGGAGGGCCTGTGCCTTCGGGCTCGCTCAGCGAAGACAAATGTCTGTCTCTGCGCTACAAAATACCCACTCTGACCATTCCTCGGTGCCCGACTCTCGTAAAGTGTTCTCGTCATCTACTGTGCTGAAGAAAATGCTCCAGGTGTCTCCCTGGACTGTGCTGAAGAATGAACACAATGAACATGCACTGACTTCAAGGTCTTTGTATGACAGATGTCATTATGTATATTAGCGCGACTGTTAATTTTAAATACTTAGATAGCAGTTTCTTGACTCATCACGACTGTAGATTTGGTAAAGAGTTGGGCTATTTCTTGCATTTATTTACATTTGCAGCAATCTCAAATCTTCACAATAATAGTCCTAAAAAAACATTAGACATAAAATAACTTATATTATTCACTACGCTTCCTAAAATCAGTTTCTTTTCACTGATGGAGAGCTTATACTTTATGGTATATATTATATTGTATTTTTTCTAAAATCAGCACTGTCCTTTATATTACTGCCTTCTCTTTGATGGATGTGCAATTGTAGTGTCTTTTAATTGGAATGTTAACTGGAAATAAAATGACAACATATTTACCCAGAAACATGTAGGTGGAGGGGGGTTTCAGTTGTTTTCCTGCAACCTGAACAGTTTGTAATGCAGTCTCCTGATTGCATTACAATCATACATATAGTTTCATTCCATTTAGGGACACTACAAAAATATGAAATATCTTTCTTTTCTCACCCCAGATTTACAACCACCCAGGAGGGGTGTGGTTTAACCTTTGCTGTCCATCACTGGGTTCTTCGTTCATGTTGGCATAAGCCTGGGAGGATATTATGTGTTTGGTCGTGCGTGCGTGTGTATCTGTCCGTCTGTCCGCCTACATCTAATCTCACATACTACTGCACCCTTCAGCCTAATGTTTTCTGTATGATGATTGTATGATCAAGGACCTTTCATGGTTGTGGTCATTCACACTTCATGAAAACATATCTTAATGACTGCTTTAAACCGTCACTGACCGCTGAATCCTCACTCCTGTTAACCGGCCGGTCGGGGCCACACGTGATCAACTGCTTCAGTCAGATTGAAGGCCTAGGTAAGCCACAAACGTTAGCCCAGTAGTATCCTTGATCGATTTTTACCATCAACACTGATGCCTCTGACCGTGGCTCAATGGGGCGATGCTTAGTGTGTGTGTGTGCGTAGCGAGTGTTTGGTTGAGAGAGGCGGTGGCTGCGCTCGGGGCAGATGGGTGTTTGGCCATCAGAGCAGAGGGAACGGTTAGCAGTGAAGCTGTCTAGTGGCAGTACATGTACAGTGTGGGTGACAGTTTGTCAGCGAATCCGAAACGTAGAAACACCCTTACTACCCAAGAAGTTCTCGTGTCTTGCTTTCCAGCTGCCCAGTGAAGGGAGAGTCTTTGGGATAACAAGAGAGAAACACACTCGGCTCCACCTAGGTTGCAGAATATAGTGAAATATATTTATTCTGTGCCTTATTGTTAGGCAACAATCTCACGTTCAAGCACGTATTGTGGAAAGAATAGACTTAATTGACTATCCGTTTGTAACAAGTCAGATTAGGGTAGACAGGCAGGTTTTGTTTCTCCTTTTTTGGGGGGAAATTGATAATTAGATAGCTGTGATATGATGTTTATTTGACTACTGACAAAAATGTCAATCAACACCTGATTCCATAGGCCCTATGTTTCATCCCTTACCCCTACTCCTCTCTGGGACGTGACAGGAGAGATTTGTTTTTACCGTCAGACTCACCTCTTGAAGAGCAGAATGGCAATGACTATGATGATGATGAGAATGACCGCCAGCACCGGACCCATCACCCACAGCATCTCTGGGTCCTCAGTTTGTCGGGTCATCCCATTGTGGAGCTTCACCATGATGGGCTCAGAGAACGGGCTGGCCGCAAACGTCTGCAAAAGACCAGAGGGAGGATCCAGAGTCAGTTCACAGTCACTGAGTTGTACACAACAGAGCAGAGTATCAGGGTATAATACTGTGATTATGACAGTATTGTACTTTATAAGGTTGGGCTTTTTAACCTGCCAACTCTCCTGGGGTTTGAGTTTCTACCATCGACCAATGTGTGTACCAATGTTCCTCCAAGGAAGCTTCCATAATTCAACCAACCCACACAGCAACAACGACACTGAGAACTTAACGGATCGGTCTATCTCTCTGTGTCCTTGACGGCTAGATGAAGTGCCCAGTTTATTTACAAACCACACTACATTTTCAATGGGAAGCCAGAAGTCGCTCACTTAAAGGGAAAAGCAAAGGGTTCCTAATGCTGGTTGTGTGATCGCTGTCTCTTGTCAATAGTCAGTTAAGTTGATATCATGGCTTGTGTACAAACAAGGTTTCTGTATATATTCAATGTATCTCAAAAAAGAAACTCCTCCGTAGCACTAATAGAGGTAAGAAAAACTCCACAGGGTACCTTTTATCTTTTGAGGATAAATCAAGATGATGTTGCCTTCCGCACTCATCCGAGTACGGTGTATAAGGTCTACAAACTGGTTCTTGACTTTGGCCCAGCTTTCGTCATAAACGGTATGACTAAAAATATTCATTCAACGTTTTTCAAGTCATATTGAGAGCAAAATGTAAAAGATAATGGACAGATTTATGAACTTAATGCATCCACAAAGCCACAAAAAAGGTCAAGAAGCAGCAACAAAGCAGCTGAAGTTAAGGTGCCATTATAAAAGGGCTATGGATGTGGATGTCACATGCTACTTTTAGTTGGCTGTTTATAGGCTATTAGTGGGAATAAGTGCAGGATTAATGTGTGAATCTGTTAACTAAAGGGATAGTTTTGCATTAATATTATCTGATATTTTAGCCCAGATCGAATAACAGGTGAGTGACTCCATCTTCTAAATGATTCAAGTTGAGGAACGACTACTGGAAGGCCAGTTACGTTACACTGTGGGACAAACAAGTCACAATCCTTTTTACTAACGTTGAGAATCAAGCGAACAACACCTGTACCTTGTACACATCAAAGAACGCTTTGAGGACAAAACATGAATGAGTGAAACATTTAAATGTCTAATATGAGTCAAATAAATATACATTTTTGTCAACGTAAAACTAATTCAAAAGATTTGTGCCAAGATGAACTGCCGTCCTCATCAGTGTACACTGTAAAAAATAAAGGTGCTAACTACACACGTGTTCTTCTGCTTGTACCCCTTATTGTCTCATAATCAATGGAAAAAGTCAGCATATTTTGATGAACCATTTGGCAGCTATACTTTTGTCAGTTTACCAGTCTTGTTGGTTGAACAGTTGACCCAAATAGTTAAATGGAGACTAGTGTGTGTGTGTTTAGTGAGACAGGGTTCTATATGAGAGTATGGAGGAGAGTTAAGTCCTGCATACTCCCACACACACAATGTGCTGATTCAGGTGAAGGCAGCTGGTTAATTGTGACAGTGATTAGAAAGCAGCAGGGGGGGGGGACAGTGAATACAAGCTGAGACAGACAGAGGAAGGCTGTGCTGGATGTGGGGAGTGTATGGCTCATTGTGAAGAGGAGGACAGGAAGGAAGGAGGAAGCACAGTGGAGGATCCGTATCAGTGAGGACAAATCTAATAATGCAAACAACTTCAGAAGGCCTTGTGGACCTGAGACGGGCCTGGCTATGTCCCTGACATCATTAGACAGCGTGGCAGCCTCTCCTATCACAACCACACTGCTGCTGGGAGACACGTATTATCCATCCCTCTCTAAAATTGGTTCAAGTCTATCTTTAGCTCAAATAGTATAGCTTTACCAATTATTGACCATTTTAGCGTTATTAAAGCAAACGATTCTAGTTTAACACAACTTGGCCATCACTAACAGACTCATCAAGTTCATTGCTGAAATATGACAACAACAATGTATACTTGCTCCGGAGCTTTGAATCATATCACACATGTAGTTTGTTTAGCTCAGTTAATAAAGCAACATGAATGAAGATTCCTAAAAGTGCTCAGAATAATGAAAGACCGTGAGGTTGTGGTCAAAGCAACATGTCCAACTCGTCACATAGCGAGTATCGGTCAGGAGCCTCGGTGTTACTTTGTAACACACTGCAGCGCGTCAAACTATGACGGATCACTGCGGTCGCAGTAAACACATGGTTAACGTTGTGAATTCAAACAAGAACAACAAAGAGGTTTAGACAACAAATGCACTTAGTTAGGTTTAGGAAAACATCATGGTTGGGATTCAAATAAGTATGTAAACTTAGTAAAGAACGTGACATAAGTACAGAAACAACACTACACGAACGCTGGTCTCCTGGTTGAAAGTCCTGTGTTTGTTTGACCCATTCACCTCCCTCCCTGTGTGTTTAGTGTTTTATTCCAAAGCTGTGCTCAACAACAATGTTAAAGTTACAGAATGTACTGCTCTTGTAGCCAGAGCCTACTTCACCTGACAGCATAGTGCCATAAAAGTCCTTTGCCACTGGAAAACATTAGGGAAGCATTAAAACAAAGCCATGCTGTTGTATGAGTGACATATCCCCTCACTGGAGGAACACAGCCAGTGTAGTTTAATGGGAAACATCTCTACGACTGCATTTACCATCTCTGCAGGCTAGATCTGTGTTGGCCAGATGTTTGTCTGCTGGTCTGTTGGAACTTTTTGTCATTTTGCTTGATTGTGTGTAAATGAGTGACCTCATGTTACTTGATGCTGCAGCATCAGCCAATTACTGTTCAGCCATCAAACTGACTTCATTTATACTTCAATCCTTTTCAATAGCAATGAAGTATGCAAAGATGGGCAGCTATGACACACAATAAGCATACATATGAACACAAGTTTGTTCCCATCAATTATCTTAAAAATAGTTTTATTTAACTGAAGAGTATCATGTCACTTTTCCCTTAAAATATACATTTTGCTAGCAACTGTTGCCGCTCTAAAGATGCATTTTATGCTTGCAATAAGTTGGGTGATGCAACAAAAGAATGGTCAACATTGAAACATTGTGATCCATCCATTTCTCTCAACGCAACCAATAGAATCAATTTGTTAGACATCTTCATGATGCTGCGGCGCCGCATCATGGCTGCATCATTGACCTTCAATGACAACAATTCCTCGTCTCTACATTCTGATTAGTGAGCTGCCGTCCAGATTTGTAAACAGTTGGATGTTGACACCGAGATAAAGATTAAATAGGAGTCACGTGGATCAACTTGCGAGGCGTAATTCACTTTAAGTAACTGTGCTGCTTGTCACTTTATGTTCTGTGAGACAAGTGCAGTAAATTGGACTGTGTCAGCCAATGAGGCCATAAATATTCCTGTGCGCCTGACGGGGCTCTGGCTCAATGGGGCAGCAGCAGCAGCAGCTCTGGCTGAACGCTGTAAACACGATTGAAGAATGCTGCTTGTTAAAAACAATGTCACCCCCACGACCGGCTTTGCTTCCTTATTGATTCATTAATTTCAACACACTTTCCACTTGCACTCTTTCACTACCAACGTTCTCGCTGAGAGCTTGTGATATCGGGGCCGACAACTGCAAAATGAATTATACATGACCTGTGAGGCTGTAAGAGATTTGTTGAACATTTGTCATGTTGTAGAATGCTGAAATGAAACAAATGCATTATGACTTGCAATGGTCTTTGACCCTTCCAAACACATTCAAATATACGCATACATACCGTAACTCGAGTGTTTACTGTACTCTCCAGATGGATTGAAGCATCCTAATCCTTCTGAATAATCAAAGCAAGCTCTTTCAATTGACTGCATCTTTCATACTTTGCTTTGAAAAGCCATTTACATGATGTATTAAATGTATTCTAGCTAAAACTTCCATTTAAAAAGGTACAGGAAAGGTGATTTAGAATCATGTTTTTTTCATATTTAAATATAGGACGAAAAAATTAAATAACTTTTCACGTGGACGTCCAGATACTTTACTAACAAGGAATTCTGGGGAATTTTTCCTGCATGAATTTATGGTAGAAATGTCTTTATGTGTGGAAAGGAAAACACTGACTTCCGGTGCCAGGTGACACTTCAAAATGTTCATACATTATCTGATAATGCAGTAAGTCTCTCAGACATTCTGTCTCGCTTTCAAATACGAATTCTTCTGTAGACCAACTTTTCATATTTAATGTTATCTCTGCTGAGTCAACACACGTTTCTGCATTATTTACTATTCCCTCCTCTTTAGTGTCTTTTGATCAGGGAAGAAAACTCATTAAATGTGCACACGGCACCTTTTCACCTCAATGATACATTTTACTTTACTTTATAAAGCCCTGGACTTTAATAGCTTTCCAGAGTAAGTTAATAATGTTTTAAGGAAAAAGGTCCTAATATTACAGGAATAAAGTCCTAATATTACGGGAATAAAGTCCTAATATTACGGGAATAAAGTCCTAACATCTTGCACTCGATAGGTTTGTCTTTGGTTATGTAGTTAGGTGGGCGGGTGGAGAGGAGAAACGAGGAGTGTGGAGATTAGAGCAGAGCAGATAACGTGATTCAGTGAGAATGTGGTGATGTAAAAAAATCCATAGAGATTATTCAGTTCATCACCCCGGTTGCTCTACAATCACCACCAACCTATGAAGGCAAATCACTGTCAAAATCCGAGAGCGCAAATGAGATCCATGCGCGCGCGAAAATCAAACAGCCGCGCACGTATTTTACTTTCACGAGCACTTTTACATCACTCATTACCTGCTCGCTCGCGAGTAATTTTTCTTTTTGACAGTAAGTGGGCGGACCCAGTCTCCATTGTATCTCTACATCTAATTGGTTACAATCTTCGTCTTTGGATAAACCGGATATCACTCTGACGCAGACGCTCGGGGGAGATTTTCAGATCACACTACATGTCAGGGGCAAATAATGTACATTTTACTGCACGGGTACTTTTACTTTC